ATGCAATGTTTTTTTTTTTGCCAAAATATAGAAATTTAATTCAATTAGTTTACAAGAGCAAAATTAATAAAGAGAGAATTTTTTTTTTAATTCCCTGATACCTCCCAATAAAATTCCCTGATTTTTTCAAATACAAAATAAATTCCTGAGAATTCCACAGTTTCCACGTTTTTCCAGGGAACAGATATACTAGTGTAAAATTTACTCGAGAAATAATACTCGCAACATTTTATATATATATAAAAAAATAATAACAAATTTTGTTTGAAAAATCCAAAAAAGATCTTGCTGTCCTTTCGAAGTAAATTGCTTTATAATTAGGGATGTATTGGAGATATATTACAATCAATGAGATCGCCGTGAATTTTTAATTTAACATTCTTAATAACATTCTAAATCCTCATTAATTATTTCAAATTGTTTTACTTGCTCCTTTAAAAGTTATTAATTTTTTAATTTTACGATTTTAACATAGGACCTTATGTAAACGTTCAAGAGACAGGTAATAAATTATTCACAAACTATAAAAAAACAATGATAAAAATTTCATTTTGTAATATTATATTCTTCATACATGTAAAAATGTTCCCACAAAATTTTCAAACGATTTACTTGCTCGTATTGAAATTATTATTAAAAAATAACTGTGATTATCGGTTTGACGCAATATTGATGATAAAACGGGGCAACATTTTCTTGGAAATTAAGACCTATTTATATTAAAGAATACTTTGAAGTATGATTTCGTGATTTTTAAAAAATTTTTGATCAATTAGAATTTGTATTCTGCCCAATTTTAATTTTTTGATACTTTGGATTAACTTTTGAGACAGACGGTCCATCCAATCCATCCTTAAACTGACGCGTTCATTGTTTCGTATATACGCAATAATTTATAGTCTTCTTAGAAGAATTTAATAATTTTAAATTTCAACAATAATATAGTCTTATTTTAATATTGTAATTGTCACTTTAAGAATATATAATTATTGAAGGATGTATTGGAGATATATTACAATCAATGAGATCGCCGTGAATTTTTAATTTAACATTCTTAATAACATTTTAAATCGTCATGAATTATTTCAAATTTTTTTACTTGCTCCTTTAAAAGTTATTAATTTTTTAATTTTACGATTTTAACATAGGACCTTATGTAAACGTTCAAAAGACAGGTAATAAATTATTCAAAAACTATAAAAAAACAATGATAAAAATTTCATTTTGTAATATTATATTCTTCATACATATAAAAATGTTCCCACAAAGTTTTCAAACGATTTACTTGCTCGTATTGAAATTATTATTAAAAAATAACTGTGATTATCGGTTTGACGCAATATTGATGATAAAACGGAGCAACATTTTCTTGGAAATTAAGACCTATTTATATTAAAGAATACTTTGAAGTATGATTTCGTGATTTTGAAAAAGTTTTTGATCAATTAGAATTCGTATTCTGTCCAACTTTAATTTTTTGATACTTTGGATTAACTTTTGAGACAGACGGTCCGTCCAATACATCCTTAACCGTGGTCGGTTCAGAAACACGCAAAATAGCCGAAAGAATTCTGTCGATAAAATCCCATCATCGCGACAGCTCGAGAGCGGTTTCGCGCAGCAGAAACCGGCGCGTCTCGCGGAAAAGTGTATCGATCACGGAAAATTGTCCGATACTAGGTCAGCGCCTGCGAGTATTCGCGGGGGTGTCTCTCGCCGCCCCTGCTTTTCCTCATCGTTTACGACTGACGGCGACGCATTACCAGCGACGAGAGCGTAATGCACGATACTAATAATCTTCCTCGCGGAGATGATGCAGGCGCCGGAGATGATGCATCCCGGCTCCAGCGTCTGCGTCTGCGACTGCGAATCGAGATTAAAGCTCGCCGAAAAGGATAAATGCCGGAGGGAGGATATCACGTTAAAATGCGACTTAAATGCGAGGTCTGATGATTCGACTGGCTTTCCACTGACGCGTATCATTCGCTTAACGCGCGATGCATAATCCATGCGAGTCGAGGGTCGAACAGCTGTATACGATATTAAATAGCCCGCAAATTTGGACCTTGGCACATCCGTGCGTATACACGGTGTTCCATTTTAATGTCCCACCCCAAATAACTTTCTTATTTTACAAAATAATGAGAGAAATCAATTGGTCTAAAGAAAACATACAGTTGTTTTTAAGAAAAAATATGGAATTGTTAATTGCAAATTACATATTTTTTCTTAAGGACAACTGTATGTTTTCTATACACCAATTGATTTCTCTTATTATTTTGTACATAAAAGTATTAAGGTAAGATAATCGGAAAATGAATATTTTACAAGATATTTTATGATTTACGTAAAATTAAGAAATAATTTCAAGCCTCATAACTCGAAAAGTACTTGAAAAAATGTTTATTTATAGTGTTTTGGAAAGCTCTCGAGATAAGTTACCAGAATATGCAAAAATATATAGGGTGTTCCATTTAAGAAATTCAAAATGACCTTCATGTGACTCTTCAAGATCAAACTAATGGCACCATCTTATGTCCCCCTAGAAACCATACAACTTTTATCTGAAACATCTTTTTCTAAAATTAAAAATAAGAAAGTTGGGGTGGGACATTAAAATGGGACACCCTGTATAAATTATGTAGCATCGCGAGCGTGTAACCGGGATACGCGCGATTAACGTAATTTCAAAATCCGGTTGCAAACGAGGTTGAACTCTTAAGCGAGAGAACCTGTGGATGTTCATGACCCAAATGCTTGGTCCTTATGTTTTACGATATATCGTAATTTATCGGATACACAGACAGCCAAAGGGCTGATTGTGAGAAAACCCACGTGTTTTATAAGGCTGATATTACTGCTTCATATATCATTGTATAACAGAAGCAGAAAATGTATCTTTTACGAGCTCTAGAGAAAACCTACGCGACATCATTTTCCACTTTTCTTACATATATATTCATTTAAACATGAAAATCGGGATGAAAATAAAGTTAATGCAAATATCGTTAACATAATTATTTATCGCCGCGTATAATTATGGACCCATTATCGTCCAGAGTTAAAATCATTATGCAAATAATACTTGGCCAGAGAAAATGTGACGAAAAGTTTAAAGTATGACGCAATATAAATTAATTATATTACGTTTCTATTAATCTGACCGATATACCGTCAATAGTCAATATTGCGTTTAAACAATATTTCATGAATATACATTTGTGTTTATTTTTTTTTAATTATATTTATGTGATACATATACTGGGTATTTTTTAATAATTTTTGCGAAACATTTTAGAGATGATTCTTTGTCGAAAATTAAGGGGCGTTTTTCATATAAACATACACTCCTACATCCCTTTCTGTGGAGTTATATTCCTCCAAAAATGGAGGTAAAAATTACGTTTTTAATTTTTAATTTTTAGGTTTTTAGGTTTTTATTATAATTTTGTTTTTGTTCCAATATTTCCAACATTTACTCTAATTTTATTTTTATTTGTAAATTTAACTTCTCGTAATTCAAAACCTATGCTATTTAGCATCGTGCGGTGCACGATAACGTATTTTATTTCTTTTCTTGAAAACTCTACTGATTTTATGAAAAAAATAAATGAAATAAAAAAGTTTCTAAATGAATCAAACTTTTTAATGCATATTTTTAGATGATCATATTCCGGCTCATTAAAATGTTCTAATAAAAAATTGTACAGAGGTTGCTAGTTTCATTTCCTTATAACAATACGAAGAGATTGAAAAAGTATTAATAAATAATCTTTTTACTAGTAGAAAATGTTCACCTAATTTCATTCCTTTAACTTGTTCCAAATTTGAGAAAAAAATAAAAACTTAATTTTACCCCCATTTTTGGAGAAGAAATGTATGTTTATATGGAAAACCCCCTTGAATTTTCGACAAAGAATCATCTTATGTACAAAATAATGAGAGAAATCAATTGGTGTAAAGAAAACATACAGTTGTTTTTAAGAAAAAATATGTAATTTGCAATTAACAATTACACATTTTTTTTTAAAACAACTATGTTTTTTCTTTACACCAAGTGATTCCTCTCATTATTTTATACATAAAAGTATTATGATAAGATAATCGAAAAATGAATATTTTACAAGATTAATAATCGAAAAATGAATATTTTACAAGATTTTATGGTTTATGTAAAATTAAGAAATGATTTCAAGCCTCATAAAGTACTTGAAAAAATGTTTATTTATAGTGTTTTGGAAAGCTCTCGAGATAAGCTACAAGAATATGCAAAAATATATAGGGTGTTCCATTTAAGAAATTCAAAATGACTTTCACGTATCCTTTATGTGACTCTTGAAGGTCAAACTAATGACACCATCTTATGTCTCCCTTGAAACCATACAACTTTTGTCCGAAACATTTCTTTCTAAAATTAAAAATAAGAAAGTTATTTGGGGTGGGGCATTAAAATGGGACACCCTGTATATTCGCTACAATTTTTGCTCAGCTTTTTGGTTCTTTCGCGAAAGGCTGCACTTTGTTATGTAGACCCTCTGTAATTATGGCACGCGCGTATGCTGGGCGCGAAAGCCAGCATGCCATGTAGATGAGACGCATAAATTTCGCGGCGGCGCGGAGCTCGCTAATCCACCTTACCAGGCAACATCGCCGTAACTAACGAGGCGGATGACTTAATCCGAGTTGCGAATTATTAAACAGGAAATAATTTCTTATTACCATGTGAAACAAAGCGCCCGATTAAGGGGCTCGCGGCGCGGAGCGGGCATAAAATTTAAATTTCGCGGAAAATGAACCTTTCAACCTTGACATTAGAGAAATTTCATTTCTCCCCCTTAAACCCTTCGTAGCAATAAGGAAGAAAAAAGACTAGAGATTTTCATCGTCTTTGTGCGGCCATAAGCCGCGGCCTCGTTTGCAATATACGTATCAATAAACATTTTCAATTATGCATTTTACAACGAGAATTTGTAACGTAACTTGCGGGAAGGATTACTTACATTCCTGTTTAAATGTGAAGTATTCCGTGAGATGACGGCACTCGTGGTTACCTCTGAGGAGGAAGAGTGTGGTGGGATGGCACAGTTTCAGCGCCCACAGGTACAATACGCACTGAAACAAAAATATCAGAAATGGTGGGCGTTGACTTTTGGAAGCAACTTATTTATTTCATCAATAATATACCTCGGAAGATAATTTTTAAATAGCATTAACTTTGATTCTCAACGGGGAGTCAGAATTTTTTATAATCGCCGATAATTGAATTGTTAATAAAACTTATTAATAGGCATACATACATTAAGAAACTTTCAACAAGCAATTTGTACGTCCGACCCAAGAAGATTGATAGCTCAAGATCGATTTAAACGATACATAAATATTTTACAAAGTGAGAAGACGAGAGAATAAACCGTCAAAGACAAAAACATTCTAGCTGGCTGTACGATTGCGTTGACATCGAGGTCCTCTAAATATTATTATTATTATTATTATATATTTTATTATTATTATATTTCATTATTATTATTATTATATATTTTATTATTTATTTATTATTATATATTTTATTATTATTAATATTATATATTTTATTATTTATTTATTATTATACATTTTATTATTATTATATTTTATTATTATTATAATTATTATATATTTTATTATTATTTATTTATTATTATATATTTTATTATTATTACTATTATTATTATATTTTATTATTATTTATTTATTATTATATATTTTATTATTATTATTATTATATATTATATATTTATATTATATTATTTAATATTATTATATATAATTAAATCGAAACAATCGACTCGTCTCCATTCGAGCTCGAATCTGCTGAAGATTTCTCCCCGATTTGATCGGCATTCCCCGAATTTAATTGCAGAATTCGCGTCGACGCGAATTCGCCAGATCGCACTCGGACTTCTCGCGAGATCCACCTGTAATTTAATGCGCTATTAATCAGCGCATCGGATGGAGAGAGTTGACTGGAAACGCGGCATCGCTCAATAACACCCCGGTACCATTAATAATAATAATTCGCAGCGAGACGCGCGCGTTTTCGTGAGCATTTTGGCAACGAATATCTCGTCTCATCGTCGTCGATTTTATCGTCTCGTGAAAATGAATCGGGTGGCGAAAGCCGCGAGTTGCATTTGGCTTGCTTTACGCGATGAAAACGTATTGCGTAGTTGTCGGCGAGGTTTATACGCGTTACTTAGGACGGAATTATTTGGCGAACGCGACGATAACAGGGGGCATTCATTCGAGAACCTGGTAAAAAATTTTCCCCGAAAATTCATCCCGATCTATCAGCTATTTTCGTCCCGCGTTTCAGGTAAAGAGGCCATTTTTAGAGACTTTTTGGGATTTTTAAAAATAGAATTTTTTATCGCATGCGTTTTCTAACTTTTCATTCGTACAAAGGAGAAAGTGACAGGGCCACTTGGACTGCTAGATTTTCAAATTTACTCGGATAAAAATTGAATGGCTTTCACAAGATAAACACTTTACATTTGTATAACATTTTTATCTTTTTTTATCATTAAAAATTGTAATAAAACATGTGAATCGCATATCTGCACATATTCTGTTAAGATATTATATAAACAGAGAGGCAAATTTTTATATATTTATATTTTAAACATATTTTTAATCACAATTTCCATTTATCAGCGGATTACCTACAATATGCTTACAATATAAGAGTAAAATTATTAAACAGAGAATTTTCAACAAAATTCTCTCTTTAATAAAATTCCGTGAAAATTCCCCGATTTTTCCAGGTGTAAAAAAATTTCTTAAAAAGAATTCCAGGTTTCCCATGTTTTTCCAGGAAATAAATACGGGATAATAACTGCGCGTGTCGCAAAATTTAAGGGAAAATAAAATAAACAAATAATAACAAAACTAAAAAAAAAGGAGAGGAAAAAGAATTTTATAAAAAAATATATTTTTTTGGCGTTATTCGTTCCGATCGAGATATAAATGTTGGGGGATGAACTTGAACGCTTTCGCTGGAACAATCGTTGGGGATCGGCTGTTATCGACGCAGGTAGAGGCACGTTTCGCGCGGATGTATCGCTAATTAATATTATTCGTTGTAACACACGGCCCACTGACCCGCATTAAATTGGCAAGGGCCGTTGCTAACGAACGGACCGGGGAATTTCGCACGAATTTTGCGCGCTAATTAAGCTCGCTCGCGAATGTGGCGACTGTAATGACGACTCCATTAGACGTACGGTTTCGAGGGGAAATGGGCAGGTCGCGATCTCATCGGACCTTTCACGTGGCCAACATTTGTCCCGCACTCGTTGGCCGGGGTCTATTTAATAATCACGTGCGACGCGGCAGTTTTACATAGACTTAATTACGGACGAACAATACGAATTAACGTTCTTTCACAAAATGTCGCGTGTTCGTTGACAATTTTCCCCGCTGAAAATGATTCAATCCCCGATGAATGATTCGTTCCCAAAGCACGCCTGACGCAAAGTGTTTTCCGTCAAAACTCATTTTCTCTTATTTGCGTTAAAATTATTTGTCAATTTTCATTCCATTTCCCTCCATCGATATTTGGATTGCCACTTTTACGACTGATTTGTCACTCTTTTCGTAGTTTTTTAAACTTTCGATGGTAACTATATGTGTTGAACTTAAGTTTCGCTAAAAGTAAAGCCTTCAAATTGTCTGCAGAATAAACTTATTATCCGTTAACAACTTCAAAGTTTAGTTTTCAAAAAGCACTGAATTTGTAACTTCTGAACCGCTTCTAGAGGGAAACTTGTTGGCGTTTTGACATTTTAAAACGCGAAAAATTAGGAGAAAAACGCGCGACATTATACGTGTACTATGTTTAAAAGCAAAATGTAAAATAATACAATTTCATACATTTTTCAAAAATAAATTTTTGTTAATTCTCTCTCAACAAAAAAAAAAAGAAACAGTTGAGAAAATAGCCGTTTTATTCTTTCACGATTGTCGGCCGCACAAGTATAACTTTCGAGAAAAAAAAGTTGCAAAATATTATTTCAATATCGTAACACCTTACACTGAGGGAAAAATTTTTTTGAATCAAATAAATTTGTTTTCTTGAAACTTTTGCTCTAAATGGAAGAAACTGTTTATTTCATTTAAGCAAAAGCATTTAATTTTAATTAAATATGCATGTCTTATATTAAGTACGTTATTTTCATTTATATATTTTTTATCTTTAAATACTATTTTCGTAAAATAACTATAATTTATTAAATTAAATATATTACTTTTTAAAATTAAAAAGTTTAAAATTTTTCGGAATAAAGAATGCATTTTAATAAATATTTTGTAAAATTAAAATATAAAAATATTCAATTAAAAATTATATTTCTTTAAGCATATATATTTTCTTAAACATATGTAAATAAATACTTAACTTAAGCAAACAGACGTTTCGAATACAAGTAAATACGTGATTAGTACTCATCGAATAAATAGCTTTCTTGAGTTAACTAAATTTTTTTTTATTTCAAGATAATTTTTTCCTCAGTAATTTTTTTTATTTCAAGATAATTTTTTCCTCAGTAATTTTTTTTTATTTCAAGATAATTTTTTCCTCAGTAATTTTTTTTATTTCAAGATAATTTTTTCCTCAGTGTAAGGCTGATTGTGAGACAGATGTGATTGCGATTAAAACCGCTGGACCAGAACGTTTAACCTTTGTGCATCGAATCAATACCGTGGAACTAGCGATATCGCACCGAGATAGAGGTAAAGAAATGTCACACGTTCAAATATATAGGATATTTATCTCGTTCCCCCTCCGTTTTTTCTCTCTCTCTGTTTCTCGCTTCGGAAGATCAGGCTGCGATGATGCTATCGCGTCACGATTGGATATCGATATACGGTTTTTTCGATTTTGCATGGCGCCGCACTGCGGGATAAATCCTCGTCCAGGAGCCACGGCGGCAATTTTTTTCTTAGACTTTCGAGGTCAATTATTTTCTCCCCACTGACCCGATCAACTGTCTACCATCGGTCCCTCTCGCAGCCCCCTTCCACCACCCGGTCGGTCTCTTTGCGAAGTCAACGGAGCGGTTGCTCGCTCTCTCTCTCTCTCTCTCTCTCTCTCTCTCTCTCTCTCTCTCTCTCTCTCTCTCTCTCTCTCTCTTTCTCTCGCGTTGCTCGATCGCTATAATTACACGCGAGGGCCTTCATTGGCATTGTAACGAAATAATGCACTCGGCCGTCGTCGTTGCGTCGTCCTTCAGATTCCGTCGTGGCTCGCTCGTGAGTGTTTGCCTTGTGTGGGACATGGTTTCCTCCTTCAATGGTGATTGCACGATGCACGTGATACATTCGATTGGATTTATGTGTGCACAAGAGGCCTTTAATATATTTTTTTTTTCATTTCAATAGAGCTCGTATCCTCGTAAATTGATATTATCTTTATCAAAGTAGAATTTTTCCGCGTCTATACACTGTGTATATACTCCTCTCCAAGGCTGTGTCCGGCACTGTTGAAAGTGCTTTTGGAGCTCTTTAATTGAAATATCAGCCAAGAGAGATGTCGGTGAAAACTTTTCTTTTCTTTCCTTTTTTTTTTTCAATTCATAAACGTTTGTATTATTTCGAAACAGTAGCATCCGCCATTATTTCTTCTTTGTAAATATTTTTCATAATTTCTTAGTTCTATTTCCAAGAATGTTTTAATAATAATTTTAATATTTTTTCTCCATGCTCTCTCTCTCTCTCTTTCAATATATTACTCGACATTCTCAACATAACAAAGAAATCTCGTTAAATAAAAAATTACTGCATGTTATTTACACGAAATGAGAATTATAAAATGTAATGAAAATGTGATAAAGAGAGAAAAAAGGACACGTTCGTAAATTTAATAGACTGGTCTCATGTGCAGTCTCGGAATTTTATCTAATTGAATACTCTCTGGACTGTGAAAATACGCTTCTTACAAGTGCGAGAAATTATTTGAGGGAATTTGAAGGAAATTTCCTCTCTCGCCACATCGAGGATGTGATTTTCGAGAGCGTGCGGAATAAGGTTTCTCTCAAACGAACGATCATGGCGGACGGAACCTGTTCTCGTCAACGCCC